TAGGGCTTTACTGTGAACTCAAAAACTCATGAATAAGCTATAGTAAGCTGTCATTGAACCTATGCTGAGTGATATGACTGCACTAAGTATTTTTGTGATGGGCTACCGAAATAAGGACATCAGTTGGTGAGACCTATGTTCATCAGTCGACAGTTGGAGATGGAGATGATGAGAAATGATTTTCGTAACTCACTGATAGGATACTAGCTTTAAATTTTGTTTTTCAACAGGAAGGTATGGAGATTTGGATGCTTCACTCATATCGTACGGTCCATGCCAGACTCCGACCCTGGGGTTTTGCGTGCAGCGTCACGACGAGATCCAAACCTTCAAGCCAGAAACTTACTGGGTGTTGCGTGTAACGGCTAGTACGTCTGAAGGAAGGGAATTGCCGCTTGAGTGGAAACGAGTCAGATCTTTTGAGAAGGACATTGCTAATATGTTCCTCTCAGGAATTAAGGAGTGTAAAGAAGCTACGTAAGTTTCTCTAACATGCCAGACAGGTATCAGATAAATGTTGATATCCTACCGTAAAAGTTCATTGATTTAATTCATTAATTTAGATAATGGAAATATACTGTGTTTATCAAATACTAGCGACCCGCCCTCGCTTCGCATCGGAAACTGTAATTTATTATTGATTTCTCCACTGTTTAATGGATGTTATTATACATATAAACCTTCCTCTTCAATCACTCTATCTATTAAAAAAACCGCATCAAAATCCCTTGCGTAGTTTTAAAGATTTAAGCATACATAGGGGCAGATAGATATAGGGACAGAGAAAGCGACTTTGTTTTATACTATGTAATGATGACCAGAATTGTTGAAAAAAAAGTGAATGTTCATTTTTGCTTTATTTTTTGTGATATTTAAGTGTGATCAATATCCAAGCCAAAGAGAAAGTGAAGGCGCGTCCAACCGCCCTGAACACAGTGGAACTGATGAGGGTCGCCAGCGCCGGCCTGGGGATGGGACCGCACCATGCAATGGCGGTATGATTCATGGTTTACTTCATTTTTTGTATGGTTTATAGTAATTTATGCTTAGTGATACAGAGAGACTTGGGCTGTGATTTAAAAGAACAGAAGTCACGAACGAAACAGAATAAAAACTATTTAAAAAAAAGAACTTCTTGACTCTGATGTCGAGCTTTCGTTAAATTTTTTATAAATGGATAGAATTTGAGTTAATGATGTGTTAATGAGCTCGCGACTCAACCGATGCTAATTAGTTACTGGATCCCATGAGTGTAAGTGCCGTCACCATCCTTACACATAAGGATAGTATCATTGCTGTTTCTGGAAACAAAACGAAAAATGTACGAACTCAGCGCAATAGTCTGAAAGTCGTCGTGGCCTAAAGCATAAGACGTCCGGTGCATTCGTATGTAGCCATGCACCGGTGTTCGAATCCCGCAGGCGGGTACCCATTTTTCAAATGAAATACGTACTCAACAAATGTTCACGATTGACTTCCACGGTGAAGGAATAACATCGTGTAATTAAATCCAAACCCGCAAAATTATAATTTGCGTAATCACTGGTGGTAGGACCTCTTGTAAGTCCGCACGGGTAGGTACCACCGTCCTGCCTATTTCTGCCGTAAAGCAGCAATGCGTTTTGGGTTGAAGAGTGGGGCAGCCGTTGTAACTATACTGAGACCTTATATGAGAACTTATATCTCGAGGTGCGTGGCGCATTTACGTTGTAGATGTCTATGGGCTCCAGTAACCACTTAACACCAGGTGGGTTGTGAGCTCATCCACTCATCTAAGCAAAAAAAAAAAAAACGTTAACATTTAATGTTACAGGACAAACAAACTCTTAGAATGAGACGAAATCAAGTTAATGTCTATTTTGAAAGCATGAGTACTACAAGATACAGTTTTATGTTTCCAGGTTGCGGAGAGGCTGTACACTCAAGGATACATCTCGTACCCTCGCACAGAAACCACCAGTTACTCAGAGAATTTTGATCTCATGTGAGTAAAGCTTCATATAAATAAACTAGCTGTACCTGTCCGCTTCGCTGGGCATTTAAAATTAACAATTTTTTTCTCACCCCCACAAAGATTGTCGTCATTAACGCCCCCACAACTGGTGTAAGGAGTCCAACACTCATATAAATAAAAGCCTATCCATTAAGTATATGTATTTTCTACATGGATATCAAGTGTCAAATCAATCGGACGCACGGTTCAGTAGTTATAACGGAACATCCGTAAAAACCACTGTAGATTTATATATTAGTATAGATAAATAACTGGGAACAAGTAACGCACGGTCACCCGCCCCCCACATTACGAATCCCCTGTATTATGGGTACCATACATTTAAATATAAAATATAGTAAACAATTGTAAACTTGTAGATTTATAGTACACCCTGTTGAGTCTATATATCGGACAAGGATTAATAAGACACGTGCTCAGTTAAGTTTTTGTTTTTATTTCTTTTTTTCTCTTTTTTTTTGTAGGTAGACGTGCATACGGCCCACCTGATGGTAAGTGGTCACCGTCGCTCATAGACGTCAGCAATGCCAGGGGCAGAGCCAAGCCGCTGCCTACCAAAACGACTAACGTATATTGGGATTACAACCTAACGTGCTATCGACAGCCCGACAATCCCGAGATTGACGTAGCATCATTGTAATATAATTACCGCTAACATATACATATAATTATTAGTTGCTATGGGGACATTTGTGGTCCCTATAACCCTGTAGGAGAAGGTCGTAAAGTCTAGGACCGTCATCGGCTAGTGGCATCTAGCATCTCGGTAGTATATAGCGGTTTTGACTGTGCCCTATGTATAGCTGATGCCGATGCTGATGTTGATGCTGATGATAAACTGGTTGTAGGACCTCTTGTGAGTCCGCACGGGTAGGTACCACCACCCTGCCTATTTCCGCCGTGAAGCGGTAATGCGTTTCGGTTTAAAGGGTGGGGCAGCCGTTGTAACTATTCTTGAGATCTTAGAACTTATATCTCAAGGTGGGTGGTGGCATTTACGTTGTAGATGTCTATGGGCTCCAGTAACCACTTAACACCAGTTGGTCTGTGAGCTCGTCCACCCAACTAAGCAATAAAAAAAAGTAGAATCTCGGTAGTATGTAGCGGCTCGACTGTGCCCTATGCATTGTTGATGCCCACGAGCGATGTTGACTAGTTACCATCAGCTTGGACGAAAGCTCGTCTGCTTACAAAAGCAATAAAAAAAGTCACTGCTATTTTTCAGGGGAACCCTCCGTCAACAGCAGAGCTCAAGTAAGTGGGGCGCAGAGGTACGGGCACTGATCTCCAACGGCATCAACAAGCCGAAGAAGGGCCACGACGCGGGCGACCACCCCCCCATCACCCCTTTAAGGGCTGCCTGTTAGTATCGCTTCTCATTAGGGTTGACCGGTTAAAGAAACTTTACTGTGGAAGTTTGGTCATTGTGCTGTGGCTTAAGTGGGAATTTTCTCTCTCTCTCTTTCCCGCAACGGGAGCTTTTTATTCACGTGGCGGATATAACAATGCGATTATTTGGTATAGTGTGTTATGACTACAATTAAATTAGTGATATATGGAGGGTAGATGTAAGAAGCTAAATCTTGTATAGGGGACAAATTGGAAAAGTGTTCACCTGTAAACAGCAAGTTATTGTTGGAAGACTCACCGAAATGGCGCTAGTGTAGGAAGTGGAGATAATGTGAATATAGCAGCTTTAAACAGTGTGAAGTGTGATAGTTTATTGCGTCGTTTTTAAAATACTTCTACTTGCCACTATGGCGTCCTTGGTTGACTCTCTTTTAGCGAACACTTTTTAGTATATTGAGATGGGTTTCCCTACTCCTACCCTTAATGTAGATATACTATTAGAATATAGATAACCAAGGGGGGATCTAGCTTTGGCGCCAGGAGAGGGTCATATAGTCAAATTTAGATGCGTTCGTTCCCAGACGTTTGCCATTATACAAAGTTATTATATTATATTAAATTAATTAAATATTGAATGTATGTAGTTACATAAAATCTGTATGGTGACAAAATATATAAATAAAATCATTATATTCAATTAGTGGTCCACCTAAATCCTGGAACCAGCTCAGGGGGTGGTCATGACCCCCATGACCCCCCCCCTGGATCCGCCACTGTAGATAACATAATATAAAAAGTGCAAGTGCTCAAGTAACGCCATCTATGTAGTACTGTGTGTAACACTCTTTAATCTATATATTAATACGTGAAACAAAAACTCTGTACCCCTTTTTACAAAAAATGCGCGGACGGAGTAGTACGAAATTTCCCACACTTATAGAGAATATAGAGAAGGAGTGCAGAATTCTAATAATTTTTGTTATTATGCCTAAAAAATACATTAAATCAATTAAATAAACATGGAACACACTACTATATATTTGACGCACACAGACACGCATACATACTCTATGTTTATAGTCAAACTTTTGTCATTGTTTAAAGTCTGTGGTCAAATTGAGAATAGATTAATATTGTTTTTTTTATTGCTTATATGAGTGGACGAGCTCACAGCCCACCTGGTGTTAAATGGTTACTGGAGCCCATAGGCATCTACAACGTAAATACGCCACGTACCTTGAAATATAAGTTCTAAGATCTCAGTATAGTTACAACGGCTGCCCCACCCTTCAAACCGGTTAAATTGCGGGTGACAGCTAAAGATGAGGTAAACAAAAGATTAGAGTGTAATGTCAATGTCACTGTCGGCAGCGGAGTCGGAGCTGGAGGGCGACATGTGGCGCATCTACGACTACGTGACGCGGCACTTCATAGCGACGCTGTCGCGCGACTGCAAGTTCCTCTCCACCACCATCACCTTCCGCATCGCCGCCGAGACCTTCCACTACACCGGCAACGCGCTGCTCGACGCCGGCTACACCGAGCTCATGCACTGGCAGGTCCGTCGCCTCCTCCACCACTCCACCCTCGGAACTTTAATTATATATAATGCTTGGGCTTACTTAGAAAAATGGTGCGCGTACAACTTAGTGCGAGTGAAAGAAGTGAAACTTCTTTGCGGTGTATAGTATAGTGGTTTTCATTGCTACTTTGGCAATTAATGATAAAGGGAAGATCTTATATCGAATAATATAAGGCAAATATCTTACGTTGTATGATGACTGCCGCCACATTACGTTTTGACGTGGAAGAGAGACAAACAAACAAAAAACAAACAGACATTTCCATATTTATTACTATACATTGAAGCCCGGATATGTTTAGTATAAATGGGTGGGCGTTTTAAGTAATATTGCAATGCCCCTAGGAATACATATTTTTTGAGTCAAAAGTACCCTTTCATCATTATCATCAACGGCCCACAGTCGTCCACTGTTGGACATTTTTTACTGGTAGTAGGACCTCTTGTGAGTCCGCACGGGTAGATACCACCACCCTGTCTATTTCTGCCGTGAAGCAGTAATGCGTTTCGGTTTGAAGGGTGGGGTAGCCCTTGTAACTATACTGAGACCTTAGAACTTATATCTCAAGGTGTGTGGCGCATTTACGTTGTAGATGTCTATGAGCTCTAGTAACCACTTAACACCAGGTGGGCTGTGAGCTCGTCCACACATCTAAGTAATAAAAAAAAGAACATAGGCCTCTCCCAACACACACCACAAGTAGCCTTTATCTGTTCTTTTTTTATCAAAAAGCAAATCATCTAAAAAATCATGTCAAGCCATTGCTTCGCTTCGTCGTGTAATATGGACAAAGAGACGCACAAACATACAGACCCATTAGTAAGACGAGTGCGTGTTGTCTCCAGGCGTTCGGCAAGGACGAGTTCGTGCCGACGCTGCACGTGGACGACGTGCTGCGCGCGCACGACCACCGCCTCGTGGAGTGCCAGACCGCGCCGCCCGACTACCTCACCGAGTCCGAGGTGACTCATGTGTGACCGCTCTGAACCCTTCCTAGCGATGCAGCAGACATACAACTAAACCGCCCTGTAAACGATCAAACTGCTTGTCAAATTTTACGTGCCTGTCAAATAATTTGACAGTATGCAGCTTTGCTTGACGCGTTCGTCAAACAGTCTATGTAGGACTTTTTGGCGGGTATGCGAGGAGTGAAGTTGTGTGATTTGTTTTATTTTGTCTATTTAGCGTTTCTTCAGGTTTAAATGTGTAATAACGGTGGTTTATTAACTGTTTAATATGTGTGAAAGTGCACAAATGTGGAAAAATTAAACAAAGCCGCTGGACATAACTTCTCGGGATCCTCCAAAAAGTCCACTGAAAAAATCTCAGTAAATGACCACCATTTTACTAAGATTATATTTCATTCCATATCATCTCATTTCATTTAATTTCATCACAGTTGATTAATGTCTCAAATTAATCATCTTCATTTCATTTCACTCCATATTATAATTTTTCATAAAATTAAAAATATAAATTAAATTAAAATAAGACATGACTTAAAGCTCTTAGTCACCAGGTCATAAAATCGCTTAAAAAACAAACAAGTTTGAACGTGTATAGGGATGTTTGTACAACAAGATCTCAGTCGTTGCTCGAGACGACGTCTCGTTACAGCAAGGAGAAAACCGAATCTACGGGCAAGTTAACAAACTTGTTTGATCTTTGGTTTGATCGTTTAAGCTATTGTTTGATGAAAACGTAAAGTTTGACAAACAAATTGATCGTTTACAGGACGCTTTAGTTAGAGTGAAGCCTTATGTTGCTGTGGGTAGGGAAGTTAGTTCGCGGTCCGTGGACGTCGCCATCGATCTTGAAGCTGACATGATATCGAATTCTTGGTATATAACGGCTGTAACCCCCCAACCCCACTCTGTTACTCCCCCGACCCCAACCGGATCGTATGGCCGCAACATGGACTATACGCAATCACAATACGCCCTTTTCCAATTTAGAACTAAATAAGTAATTATACGTAAGATATGTGCGATTTCAATTTAATTTACACAGATTTTATTATTTTTCATAGTGGAAGTCGTTTGTCGAAATATGTGTTACATTACGTATTTTGTTTAATTAAATTGGGTAATTATCCGTGAGCCCGGAGCCACGGCGCACGAGTGCTCACAGTACCACTGCGCAGGTCATCACCCTGATGGAGAAGCACGGCATCGGCACGGACGCGTCCATCCCGGTGCACATCAACAACATCTGCCAGAGGAACTACGTGACGGTGGGCAGCGGCCGCCGCCTCGTGCCCACCAACCTCGGCATCGTCCTCGTGCACGGATACCAGAAGGTTCGCCTGGCCCCCAGGCCTGACACTCCGCGCCTGTCCCCCCGCTTGACCCCCGCCTGACCCCCTTGTCGTCCGCAGATCGACCCCGAGCTGGTGCTGCCCACGATGCGCTCGGCCGTGGAGGAGCAGCTCAACCTGATCGCCGTGGGGCGCGCGGACTTCCACGCCGTGCTGTCGCACACCACCGAGATATTCCGGAGGAAGTTTCAGTACTTCGTGAGGTCCATCGAGGGCATGGACCAGCTGTTTGAGGTCAGCTTCTCGTCGCTGAAGGCCAGCGGGAAGGCGCTGTCCAGGTGCGGCAAGTGCAGGCGCTACATGAGATACATACAGGTCAGCCGTCTACTGATCATACTGATCTACTGAATACATAAATAATGTCTTAAATTCTAACTTTTTATTTTGAAACTGGCACTTAACCGACATCAGGATGGTCCAAATTTTTTATATTAATTCCATGGATTTGTTTGGTATTATTATAGCATATGTATATACAGTCAAACCTGGATATGCGAGAGTTCAAGGGAGCACAATCTCATTCTCGTTTATAGAGGTTTCTCACTAACCCGAGTTTCTCGCTAATGCTCCCTCTGTATTTCGTTTCGCGATTTTCCGGATTCAAACGCTTTCACTATTTTAAGTTTATCACTTAATGACAGTACTTTATTAAAAATTTATTTTTTATTAACAAAAAGTCAAATCAAAATAATTTAACATAACTCAACCCACACAGTAGAACAGATCTTCCAACGCGCTTGAAGGAGGCACAGTCCCCAAGATACTGGCTACGTTGCCTCGTTGGACAGCCAGACTCACTCTCTGTGCAAAGTACCAGCCAGCCTTAGCATCATGTGTAACCTCCTTCAAGCGATTGGAGATGACAGTACTTTAATTTTCCGTTTTTACATGATGCAGAACAGAACTTTCCTTCCCAATTGATTAACGATAAACTGAGTAAGTCCGACAAACAGGACGGTACACAGGCACACGTGTCCATTCGAAAGGAATGCGATAAAATAACAACGTTATTTAGTTCCATGAAATAGAATAGGTTTAATATTGACGAGAAAACAATACAAAAACAATGGAAGGAAGTTCCACAAAAGTTAAGAATGAGTTATAAAATAGCAGATGTTAAATTTGTAATTTGTTTTGTCATTTGTTCCTCCTAAATAATATAAATAAATAAAGCTCGACTGTCGCTTATAGAGGTATAGATAAGTAGCAGTCTCACTTACGGAGGTCCATGAGGGAAAAACGACTCTTACAGAGGTTTCTGTTTTTCGCTAATAGAGGTTTTGGCAGCTTAAAATTACGGGTCCTGGCTACTACTCTCACTTATAGAGTTTTCTCACTTATTCAGTTGTCACTTACCCAGGTTTGACTGTATTATGGTTTTTATGGTTATAGTTTAGTTTATAGGTATATTATGGTCTTTGATATTATTATAGCAGGAAACCATCATTACCCTCGTTATTGGCAACTGTTATCATCTCGGCATATAGCTAGATGACGTAACTAGTAATTAGTCTACGCGGCACATTATCTCTTTCTGTTCCTTGACTTCAAACGTTTGTCTTTTTGGCGGGTACGCGAGGAGTGAAGTTGCGTGATTTGTTTTATTTTGTCTGTTTAGTGTTTCTTCAGGTTTAAATGTGTAATAACTGTGGTTTATTAACTGTTTAATATCTATGAAAGTGCACAAATGTGGGGAAATGAAACAAAGCTGCTGGACGTAACTTCTCGGGATACTCCAAAAAGTCCACTGAAAAAATCTCGGTAAATGACCACTATACTGAGATTACATTATATGTCATCCCATATCATCTCAATTAATTTCATCGCAACTAATTAATGTCCCAAATTAATCATCTTCATTTCATGTCATTTCACTCTATAATATCATTTTTCATAAAAATAAGAATAAATTAGAATAAGACATGACTTAAAGGTCTTAGTTACCAGGTCATAAAATCCCTTAATAAAAAAAATATGTTTGTTTAAAGGCGAAGCCTGCCCGCCTCCACTGCTCGCACTGCGACGACACGTACTGCCTGCCGCAGAACGGCACCGTCCGCATCTACCGCGAGCTCAAGTGTCCGCTCGACGACTTCGAGCTGCTCTCCTGGTCCTCCGGCAGCAAGGGGAAGAGCTTCCCCCTCTGCCCCTACTGCTACAACCATCCGCCCTTCAGGTCAGTCGAAGTCGGCTCCCTCTGTATTCTGTACCGTATGCTCCACGGGGAGTACTCTGAGGAATTATTCAAGACTAACGACCCGCCCTCGCTTCGCTTCGGAAACATTAAATTTTATTATTGAATAGCCGAGTCCCGCGATGTTACCCGCGGTTATTGTCGTATCGCGGTTGAAGCCGCGGGGCGAAGCTAGTTTAAAAAAGTAGCCTGAGTTACTCCTTATATCATCAGCTACCTATCAGTGAAAGTCCCGTCAAAATCGATCCAGCCGTTCCAGAGATTAGCCGGAACAAACAGACAGGCAGATAGACAAAAATTGTAAAAAAATGTTATTTTGGTGTATGTACCGTATATATATTCATATGCATGTAGTAAAAAGCGGTTATTTCAATATTACAAACAGACACTCCAAATTTTATTTATATGTATAGATGATACCGGCATCTCGTTTTTACCATCGCACCGCCCGCCACCGGAGTAGAGTTCATCCATACTACCTGGAGCCACTGCGGTCATCCACAGTGCGTTTCCAGAGGTCTTTTTTGCCACGTACCATCCGGCTATGGAATGAGCTCCCCTCCACGGTGTTTTCCGAGCGCTATGACCTGTCCTTCTTCAAACGAAGCTTATGGAGAGTATTAAGCGGTAGGCAGCGGCCAGGCTCTACCCCTGGCATTGTGAAGTCCATGGGCGACGGTAGCCACTCACCATCAGGTGGGCCGTATGCTCGTCTGTCTAGAAGGGCATTAAAAAAAAAAGTCAGAAGAACGACCTCGTACCTGAAGTCAGCTTGGTGTTAGGCAGCTTCAGTGATCGGTTACCAACAGACGTGTCGTGAGTTCATTAGATCATCACGCTTTTATTAGTAGACTTTTTATCTAATCGTCCCAACTACTCGTGTTTCGTGGTGAGCTCATGGGTTAAACCTAGAGAATCTGCTATCATTGGCCCTAGCAAGAGCGGTACTTCGCTGAATCTAGCACCGAATCGGAATCGCGACCCACTGAGAAGATCTGTAAACTCAGTAGATTATGTCTGAGGGTTAGCTAGCAGAGTAAGATGAGTATTGTTGTCGACAGGGATATGAAGAAGGGCTTCGGTTGCAACTCGTGCACGCACCCGACGTGTCCGTACGGCGTCAACTGGACCGGGGTCTCCGGCTGCGTTGAGTGCGAGGCCGGCGTGCTCGTGCTCGACCCCGCCGCGCCGCGCTGGAAGCTGGCCTGCAACCGGTACGTGTGCACTCACCCACCCATACACACGCACGCACATCACACGCATGCACGTATACACACACAAACACACGTACTCAACATACATCCACGCCCGCAACATACATCCACGCACGCAACATACACGTGCAGACGCACTGCACGCATATACACATGCACGCACTCACACGCACATCCACGCGCATTTATACACGCACGCGCGTACACACGCACGCACGTGCGTTGTCTCCACGTTGTTGCTGTCGCAGGTGCGACGTGATCATAAACATATTCGAGGACGCGGCGCGCGTGTCGGTGTGCGAGCAGGCGTGCGCGGCGTGCGGCGCGCAGCTGGTGGCGGTGGAGTACCGGCCCGAGCGCACCCGCCTGCCCGCCGCGCTCACCGAGATGACGGCCTGCCTCTACTGCGAGCCCATCTTCAGCGCCCTGGTCAGTGCAAGCCGAAATAACATTATTTGTGACGTCATTTGAGGTCAAATTGACCGACGAACTAGTGTTAGTAATTCTCTCAGGTTTAATTTATGAGCTCACCTACCCTCCACGAGAAGCCGGAATAGCTTCTTAGGCTACCTACCAATAGATAAAGGAATAAACAATCATCCCACGGACTGATACTTGAAGTCCGCTAATGGAACCGTGATGGTCTAATGAGCTCACGACACTTCTGTTGGTAACCGATCACTGAAGCTGCCGAACACCAAGCCGACTTCAGGTACGAGGTCGTTCTTCGCGTTTTCTTAATTTTTTTTTTATTGCTTAGATAGGTGGACGAGCTCACAGTCCACTTGGTGTTAAGTGGTTACTGGAGCCCATAGACATCTACAACGTAAATGCACCACCCACCTTGAGATATGAGTTCTAAAGTCTCAGTATAGTTACAACGGCTGCCCCACCCTTCTGCATAATTAAAATCAGCGCATGTAAACTATACCATCCGGCTATTTGCGACGTACCATCCGGCTGTGGAATGAGCTCCCCTCCACGGTGTTTCCCGAGCGCTATGACATGTCCTTCTTCAAACGAGGCTTGTGGAGAGTATTAAGCAGTAGGCAGCGGCTTGGCTCTGCTCCTGGCATTGCTGAAGTCCATGGGCGACGGTAACTACTTACCATCAGGTGGGCCGTACGCTCGTCTGCCTACAAAGGCAATAACAAAAAAAAAACTTGTCGCAGGTTGAAAAGCACCGTGCGGTGACGTCACGCGCGGGTGGGGGAGCGGCACGGGGCGCGGGGCGGGGCGGGCGGCCGCGGGTGCACAAGCACCGGGCCAAGCAGCCCAAGGACAAGATGGCGCTCCTAGCCGCGTACTTTGTATGACCAGCCGCCCTCACCCTCCTCCCCCCGGGAACGTGAGCCGCGCGTCGCGTGACAAAACGTCGCAACTCCAATACGAACGAGTTGCCAAAATCGATTTTATTGCTAGCACTTGACATGTGTTTTATGTGTGTACTCTTTGCTCTACTATCGACTAATCTTTAGAGAAACATTAGAAACGTAATCCTGTTCGATTATAATTTTTGATTTGGGATGGCTCTGGTCATGGACATACAATGTTATGCATTTATGATGTCGATAAGTATGCTATTTGATTCGTGTTAAAATCGTCTTTATGTTCATGGTAATAGCTTCGATGAAATAGTGTTTTAATGTTTTTATTTAAATAAATTAATAATAATCGGGAGCGAATCACACACGGTCATTCAGCCCCTAATTTAGGATTTCCTATATTATGGGTACCAGAGATTGACATACATACTTATACAAGTTTTTTTAAATAATTACATATATAGATAATAAACACCCAGGCGAAGAGCAAACAAAGCTGTTCATCACACGAATGTTTGCTCAATGTGGGAATCGAACTCACGACCCTCGGCGCAACAGCCAGGAGCGCTAACTACTGCACCACCGAGGCAGTCAAACTATTACATTATATTAATTATGTAAAGTATTTACTTCAGTGTTCGCGAGATGCAGACATAACTAAAGCTATATTAACGGTTTAACCTATCGTCTATTATTGTCATTATATTATTTGCGGCGCCTCGAATGCTGTGCAGTTCTTATGGTCACACTGACGACTAAGCCGTAAGATTATTTATTAACATTGGATTATTACGCTAAGTAACTAATATACTATTAAAAAATATATAGATTTTTACCTTTACGGAATGTTTACAAAGCTCGAAAGAGTCTAGAGTCTAGAGAATACACTAGGACGCTAAAACCCGCAAAACCGAACCGCAAATGTAGATTTTAATCATAGTAAATAAAGTTTACATTTCCTATGTCGTGTTTGTAATTACGGTATATGTATATATAAAAATGAATTGCTGTTCGTTAGTCTCGCTAAAACTCGAGAACGGCTGGACCGATTGGGCTAATTTTGGTCTTGAATTATCTGCGGAAGTCCAGAGAAGGTTCAAAAGGTAGATAAATTTGAAAATGCTCGGAATTACATAAAAATAATGATTTTGTTTTTGCTTTGATGTGTGTGTCCCCCGTCGTACGGATTCCTTTTGTTTGTTTTAAGTTTATTTTATACAAAAGTTTAGGTCTTTTATTTCTCGATTGAGGCACTACGAAGCCTGCCGGGTCAGCTAGTTACGATATAATTATTATTGAAAGGCACTGCACGTATTGTGTATATGTGTGTATATTTATCACTGGTGGTAAGACCTCTTGGGAGTCCGCACGGGTAGGTACCACCACCCCGCCTATTTCCGCCGTGAAGCAGTAATGCGTTTCGGTTCGAAGGGTGGGGTAGCCGTTGTAACTATACTGAGACCTTAGAACTTCTATCTCATGGTGAGTGGCGCATTTACGTTGTAGATGTCTATGGGCTCCAGTAACCACTTAACTCCAGGTGGGCTGTGAGCTCGTCCACCCATCTAAGCAATAAAAAAAAAAAAAAAAAAAAATATTGCTCACGCCCCTTGCAGTTCCAAAGTGGGGCGAACTGGCGAAGAAACTTTTTTTTTTTAATCTACCTAAGCTGATAGCCTTGAGAGGCTATGTCAGCGTAACTGGGTGAGTAGATGAGCTCACGGGGCTCAAACCGGGAGTGTTGCTAACACAGGCCCTAGCAAGAGCCGTGATTCGCAGAATCTACCACCGGATCGGAAACGCGACCCACTGAGAAGATCCGGCGACAAACTCAGTGGGCTGGGTCTGTGGGTTAATTTACTCGTCGAGCCCTTCGTCGCCAGCGGCGGGTTCGACGAGAACGATGACCGGTGCTTGAGGTACCTAAAAGCACCGTTAATGGATCGGGAGAAACCTTAGAGATCTGTATCATTAAGGGATTTTCAATTGAGTTTTAAAATCATACTCTGTGTGTTAAGTGCGAGTTTTTTAACGTTCTCGATAACGTAAAAGTTATGATTTAGAATGGGATCGTTTGCCTACGTTTGCCGGTAGGGGCGCTGTTTCAAATGCACACAAAATTGGGTTAACTTTTACGCTATCGAGAACGTTAAAAAACTCTCACTAAGCACACTGTTGAATGTTTGTAGCATACATACGTAGTTGTAGTGTAGTCTTCGTGTATAACATATGCTGATTAAATCATGTCTCTTTCTAATCTACTAAATTTTGTATGGTTTGATAATGTTGTATTATAGAAANTAGGGGCGCTGTTTCAAATGCACACAAAATTGGGTTAACTTTTACGCTATCGAGAACGTTAAAAAACTCTCACTAAGCACACTGTTGAATGTTTGTAGCATACATACGTAGTTGTAGTGTAGTCTTCGTGTATAACATATGCTGATTAAATCATGTCTCTTTCTAATCTACTAAATTTTGTATGGTTTGATAATGTTGTATTATAGAAATAGAACTTGTTTTATTTGTGAATATGATATCGTCGCTTACGTAGAGCAAGACTTACAAGTTAACGCTTACAAGTTAATCTATTAATACGTCTATAGTTTGTATGTTTCTTGATACAAGAACATTTTGAATCAACCATTATTATGCTTTTGAAGTGATAGCTTCGGTAAACCGCTACGTTACGTGACGCGTTACGACGTTAGTCTGTCTAGCTTCTCTCTCTCTCTCTCTCTCTCTCTCTCTCTCTCTCTCTCTCTCTCACGCATACGGCATCGGTACTGAGAACTTATGTAACTCCTAACTATTTATATATCATTTTCAATTCATGTTACAATTTTCCTTACATTATCATTATAAGATACATAAAATTTAAGTAATAACCTAAGATTTTCTCAAGTAAAATAGTTTAACTTAGATTAGCTTAAGCTATCACTTGTGTCGGGCGTCCTGAGATGCACATTTGTTTGTATTTGTATACGCGTCTGTAACATTTGTATTTATAATATATAAATGAATGTCATCAACTATGTAATGTTTTATTTGACCTTGTGTTTTGGTTGCTTAGGTTTTGCAACTCAGTCGCTTTAGTGTTCCGTTGTACGGAGCTTCTAATTATCACTTCAGATTGGTTATGGTTGACGGTATTTTGTTTTAGCTTGAACGCTACTAAAGTTAGTGGTCATTTAAGTGTCCTTAATAGCCGCAATGCATTATGTGTCAATTGATATAAGCTTGAGCGGTGTAGGTAGGTGCTCGAATTCGTAATGCAATAGTTGACGCTGATTATAACACGACGCCGTTTTGTTTATTCTGTGTGTTTGCNTATCACTTCAGATTGGTTATGGTTGACGGTATTTTGTTTTAGCTTGAACGCTACTAAAGTTAGTGGTCATTTAAGTGTCCTTAATAGCCGCAATGCATTATGTGTCAATTGATATAAGCTTGAGCGGTGTAGGTAGGTGCTCGAATTCGTAATGCAATAGTTGACGCTGATTATAACACGACGCCGTTTTGTTTATTCTGAGTGCTTGGTTAGTGCGAGTTATTTAACGTTCTCGATAGCGTAAAAGTTAACTCAAATTTGTATGCAGTTGGAACGTTTGCCTACGTGTGCCGCTAGGGGCGCTGTTCCAACTGCAAACAAATTTGAGTTAATTTTGACGCTATCGAGAATCTTAAAAAACTCGCGTTAAGTATACTGCTCTTGTTTGAAAAGACAGTCGTTATCTGATACAATGATACTTCGATTCTATGTATGTCTCAACGGTAACAACACTCGCTATGTGATTCCTATGCATATCGGAAAGCACATATTAACAGATTGGCAGTTAAAATACATCGGAGTGTGGCGAAGTCCTTAGTACTCAAATATATGGCAGTAAGGCGGTAGCCATCACAGAACACAAGATATTTGACAGACGCTTGAATCTGGCTTACGACGTTTTCAAGATAAGCTTGCTATATACAAGTTCCGAACAACAGCATTCAGACCGTCGGTCTACCGAGCAATATCACTCGCTCGGTGGAAGATCTTGCCTTCGTCGTTAAATCCACAAAGCAGCAAAATATTAGCTTTAAGACAGGCTTGCAGTGAAACGATCAAAAAGTATTGTAGTCTTCATTTTATTGTGAAGATTGTTGCCTAAAGTAATGTATAGGTACACTTAGGTCTGGTGGTACAACTGGCGGACAAAATATTCAATGAATTCTCGTCATAGTTTTTGAAATATATATATAAGTGGCGAGGGAACATTTCTTGTATTTTGTTCACCAGTTGTGTTAGCAACTTAATTTGTACACGAGCGCCTCTAGCGGTCAAATGTGGATCTTCTAGTGTGGGGAAAAGTTTGAAATTTGAAAATTCGAATATTGCGAAAATCGCATTTATTCTTTCCACTTAAGGTTTACTTTTAAATACGATTTGACGTTCGACTTTTAGAAGCGAAAGTGTACTTACACTGTACATACAATAAGTGTGTCACTTACGTTTTATTACTCTATTTTTCGTTACATTGATCTATTATATATTGTTTTATTTTAACAAATTTAGGTATCGAGTTTTAATAGAATTATAAAAAAAATATGATTTAGTAGTGTACTTTTAAAGGTATGTTGAAGCGAAATAATATATTTCTATTTTACAAAACTGGAATAGAAATTTCCGGACATACATACAGACTAGCCCGTAATAAAAACCAGGCATTATGATATTTAAGCGATAGATACCAATATTTCGAAAGTATACATAAACAAATATTCAATTCCTAATGTTTCGTCTTAAAAATAATAATTCTTCAAAATTATTTATTCTTCATAAAAAATAACGTCATTTTTACGTAATCATAAAATGGTGTCCATTTTTTTTTGTGCTCCATTTTACAAATCATATTTTAGATGTTGAAGCGAATGCTTTTATGATTTTCAAGCACTGATCTGTGATTTAATTAACACATTCTACAAAATTAAGATACAAATTAAATATTTAATAGATTTATGGTTTTTGATATGCGCAAAAGTTCACAACATGCTTAATTGATCTTTAGTGTCCGATACAGACATTACATTCTTTTTTATTCATTGAATGCTATTCATAAACTAAATATTATTATTGAGAATACAAAAATAAATAATGTGAATACATATTTCGTTTTTTGGTTATTTCTGACTTTAAGGAGTCATCCGTTGGTGATGGAGCCGCATTTTAATGTTAAGACTTGGCCCATTGACATGAAAATAGGCTACCACAGTTTTATAACTAGAACATCAGTACACAGCGGTAGGCAGCGGCTAGTAATAATAGAACAATTAATATTTCTGTAATTAATGGTGGAACGCAGAAAAAAAAATATATTCTCAAGGTAGGTGGCGGCATTTACATTGTAGATGTCTATGGGCTTCCGTACCCACTTAACATCAGGTGGGTCGTGAGCTCGTTCACCCACCTAAGCAATATCACACCAATTACACGAACTTAGAAACATTATTACAAATTTCC